AATCTTACTGTAAACATTTAGTAGAGAGAAAAAAAAGTGAACGGCCCATGGCATGTCAGTTAAAAGGTATTACAATGTGTTTGACTCTGTAATATAAAAATAAATGAAAGTCACGACTTAATGTTGACGTCTTGTCATTCCACTAGTGGGCGACATTCACCAGACTATCTGAAAGTCCATTCATAATGAATACTCCTGAAAGATGCTTCAAATTAGTAGCTGATTAAGGGAGGCAGATGTGAAAAAAAAACATATATTGTTATAACTCAAAAAATGTCACTTTCATTTTCAGATTCTTAAATAGCATCTCTTACGTCACAGTAGCCTCCTTTTATACAACTGTTTTTACAACAGACATTGCATTAAACAAATAACCTAATTTTAGTCATATAATGAGGTATCATATAAACCATGTGACATTAAACTTCCATATAATTTAATTCCATCCTTTGATTTACAATGGTTAGTATGACCTTAATGAAGGCTGCTTGGATCTTAATGGAGAACGTTTCTCAGGAGAAGACTTCTTGGTCCCAGGAATATATTTTTGCTGCTAGGAGACTGGAATCTGGGATTTTTCATTCCACTATTATACTACCTTGTATTTGGTATTAAGAGATAAATCAGGGACAAACATATTTACAATTAATTTCAACAAATTGCAATCTTACCAGCGGAGGGAGAAACATAAGTGGTCTGCCCGGCAGAGATGTATCCAATGGACCATCAGGGATTAGTGGGGGACAATAAACCTTTTTTGTTTTAGCATACCTTTACATAGTACAGCCATTTTTCCCCAATGCACACTGCAGCCCCAACAAAACATCCTTTACCACCTCACACACACTATAGCATCTATCTGTACACAACAACTACAGCCACTGTTCCTCCACCCACACACAATCCCTCAAAAACCTCCTGCCACACCAGCAAACCCACAGCAGCATTTCCACACATGGAAATCCCACATGCTATATCCCAACCAACATCCAATGCCACAATACAACATTCAACCACAGATACAACCCCACAAACAGCATAAAATACACACTCACATACAACACCATCGACAAGCCCTGTCTTACTGTTGTTCTGCGTTTCACCACTTATTGGAACACCATAGACAACACCAGCAAACAGAAAAGCAAGCATGTCATTTAATTTGCTTGTGCTATTTAAACAAAAATAGGACATTTTCCCCATGCAAGAGTCTTCAGGGCTCTGCACATGGGCTTACCTGCAGGGGAACATGCCCACTTTGGTAGGCATGCATGTCACTGGTAATAACAGCATGTCCCTTCTCTGCTCCTACCCATCCTATTGGGCTACTATGGCTCAAAATGCCTGGGACGAAATGTTGTCCCAATACGGACTGGGTTTGGCTGTCTGCATTACTGTAAATGGAGTAGAAGACCTCCAGCTAAATCTTTCTGGCTATCAAGCTACAATGTAGGAATTCAGAGCATCACATCTTTCCATGTGGTTTTAAATCCTCCAACTCTTTTTATTCATTTAGTACAAAAGCAACCCAAATCAATGCATCACTTTATAACCAAGACTCACTGCAACCCAAAGTATAACTTATAGCTAATATTTTCATTTACATACAGAAGGGAAAAAAAAAATTATATGCAATGTATGGTGAAGCATTTTTAGAATGAATAAATATTCTTATATACAACTAAATATACCACTAATACTTTAAAGAACAAACAGTGCACTCAGTAAGTGACCATGTTGGCCAATAGATCTCTGGTCAAAGCTCAGATTTTCCTCAATACGTTACAAGTATGTTACTTGTACACAGGTATATTGGATTGAGATCTAGTGACTGTGGAGGCCATTAGAGCATATGAATGTATCATCATTTTCGTGGAACTTGCTTGAAATGAAGCTTTTTCAACATGATGTATTATCTGCTAGAAGTAACCATTAGAAGATAGGTGAACTGTGGCTATCGGTGAATATATAAGTTTACCAACAATTTGCAGATAGTCTTAGTTAGTTTAAAGTAGCTTAGTATGTTCCAAAAAATATTTCCAACACCATTATATATCTCCCTCTTCCTACTCTCTTCTTTTTCCTCCCAACCAACTTGTTTAATACTCCCCAACTTTTTTAATAAAGCCACTAGAGGAACTTCTGAGTCATTAGGCAACTCTTGCTCACCTAACTGAGGCTGGATGTCCTCACGCTATGCATGAGGACATCCAGCGTCACCCAAAACCCCATAGGAAAGCATTGTATAATGCTCTCCTATGGGGCTGTTCTAATGTGAGCGTGGATATTGCTACACATGCGCATTAGGTTTCCCCCGATGGCTCACGTCGACGGGAGGAGCAAAGGCAGACCCCAAGCCAGCATCAAGGGCCATCGGTGCTGGACTGAGGTACCCAGGGGCAAAGGGGGGCACTATTGGGAGCTATAGTGCCAGTTAAATAACTTTATTTTCTTGGCACTATAATTTTCCATTAAGCAAAGTTCCATTTCAGATGCTAAGATAATTTACTCAGAATCCATCAGTCAAGCAAATCCTTCAGAAGGATTTATGGACAAAGTAAACAAACTGGCAGCACACAGGTATTGAGATCCAGCGCAAGGAAAATAAACATGATACTGACAAATAATTGCAAGTAACCAGGGAGGCTGCAAAATTATTAAGATACAAAGGGCACAAGGATAAGAAAAGTGAAAGAACAAAACACAGAACTGCTGCTTTAAAGATTCTGTGATCCATGCAAATTTGCTATTGTTTAATTTTTATTGACTTTTTTTATTAAGAACGTAATCAATCTTGCCCATAAGGCCCTACTAGGTATCCTGTTTGCAGCAAAATTAATTTCACAGGAATTATTGATGTCTTCTTAATCACCTCTTCTAGTATTTATCGATAAGCGTTTCTAGCTGTAGTTTGTAATGCTCACACACAAATATTATATATAATACGTTTAAATGTAATGTTGCTTTTAAATAACATGAGAGAGATAGACCTTTGGATGGAATGGAAGCACAAATTTTGTCACTGATTATATTCTTGTTTGTTTTGTTTCATTGAGCCTATATGTTTTTCAAATCAAGACCACATCGACAAAATGTTCTCATTGATTTTATGCAATCTTGCTGGTACCATGTACCCTAGCTTCTTACCAAAGGCAGGGGGAACACCAAGAGGAGGACACCTGGCCATCGTAGTACCCCACAGAAAGCGACCGGCTGGGTGAGAATGGAGGCACTGCTCCTTTGTGCACCCTGCTGTGATGCTGTGAGCCAGGTTATGACATCAATGCAGCCCTGTCATCACTAAACACAAGCCCCATCCTGGACCCCATCGAAAGGATCTCCACAGGACTCCAAGGAAGGGATCTACTCCAGCTCTCCAAAAGGTATGGAGGCTGAATAGATTTAAATAAAAATAATTTAAAAAGTAATAATTTGTGAGTGTGTGAGAGAATGTGTGTGTCTGGCAGTAAATATGTGTGTGTCTGTCAGTGTGAGACAAATCAGTGAGTGCATCTGTCAGTGAGTGTGTGTGTCTTTCAGAGAATGTGTGTGTGTGTGTGTCAGTAAGAGTGTCTGTCAGTGAGTTTGTGTGTCTGTCACAAGTGCCTCCACTGAAATGCCAGACGTACCCACATAAAGTTACTCAACCTGGGTAAATAAGGAAAATGGGAAGAACTTAACTAGCAGGGGTTAATGATGATATGAGAGTTTTATTGCTCCCAAGATTGGGTTCTGGATCCACCCCAGGGTTAAACATTTATGAATTGAGAATATAATTTTCTACTTATCCCATGTAAGTTATATATTTGTACATATTTTTCCCAATCTTTACAGAATTTAAAATGCTGTTTCACTTTTGGGAAGTCTATAAGGTTATAAATTAGCAAGATTGTTTTACGGTTGCTTCTATTTGTAAATCTGAAAAGATCATTACCATTTTCTTATCAATCAACTGTGTTAAATAATGTATAGATGCAGCTGTCCACGACCTATAATTGAAAGCTATAATAAAATAAGGGATTGCTTTCAAAGGTATAGCAAATAAAATATTCAATAGGCTCACAGGCATGCTTTTTTTTTTCTATCCCTCAATTTTTAGATAACATTTTTTGAGAACGATCTAATTTTAATTTACTTTTGGGTGGCACCCATACTGTGTTTTCTAATTTATCAGGGGATACTTAGGTCTCCAAGCTTACCCACTGTAATCTTTAAAAAAATTTTATAAATAGCAATATTAGTGGATCTAATAAGGTGGTGGATTTAACACTATAAGGTCAGGAATATATGTTTGTGCTCCAGTCCCTATAGTGTTCCTTTAAAGTGCGATGTGAACACAGTAGTGTATTGTGAATACATGATCAGGTTAATAGAAGGTCAGTACAGGTGGCTGCCATGAAAAATGTCACTCTCTGTGCATTACTACCAATTGCAATGATACATGGTACGGAGCAATGGCTCTGGTGGTCTGACTTGGTGTCCGAAGAGGTCAGCTGAACTTTAAATGAGTATACCAAAACAATGATTCTCTTTCTTCTCCTCTAATCCTCCAATGATATATGCGCACTGGTTGAGATGTCAATTACCAAATTTAATAATTCACAAATGGATGATACCGCACTCACACTTAGGAATCCAGGTGCTTACCAGGATGAGGGTTGGCAAAACCCAGCTTGGTAGATAAAATAAATTAGGTCCAGGCACTCAGGATTGCTCCTGGAAGGCTGGTTTATTGGAACAAAAACTGGAACGTTTCGACCTACACAGAGGCCTTTATCAGTTACCAAATTTAAAGTCAATTATTCAAACTGGAAAAATGTGTTCGATATGCGTCCAGTTCTGTGATTTTAGCCTTAAATTCTAAATCCACTTTTTATTCCAAACCATTATCCCTTTAGTGAATAACCCTGTAAAGTTTTGAATATACTTTCGAAGAAATTGGAATCACATTTTGGAAAAAGCATCATATGAAATAAAAGGGTCACATAAGTTAAAGGTGATTTTCAATGATTTATTAAATTATATAATTTCCAAAGAAGTAACTGTAAGATTTGTTTTGCATCCAAGTGAATGGTCTGTGAAGGTCCATGTCTTATTTTTGTGAAATGCTTCTCTAAGATTTTAGGGGTTTTCTACGTCCATGGATTGCTATTCTTAAAAGATGATCAGATTGGTGTTTTTCTGGAGGTACACTGCCAGCCTCACATTTCTTCCTTTTCTCTTTACTTTGGTCTCATGAATGCTGTAGGTACAATTGATAAATTTAGAATCCTTAACTTATTAAAGGTGTTTGTGTTACTGCTGTAAGAATGCCTCATTGCCACTTTGAAGTTTACTCTCTTAACAATATATTTCTCTATTTTACTCTCTTTTCTGTGTATAGAGCACTACTGGGGCTTGCTTCACTTGTTTTAAGCAAAGTTAGTTTGTTTCTACAAAAAAGAATTGCAACACAGGAGAGTAGAAAGGGAGAGGGAACCAATGCCCAATAATCCAAAATGTGTGGAAATATAAACCAATTAAGGTTATAATCCTAATAAATATAAAACGTAACTTTTATTAAATCAATAAATAAAATCAATAAATAAAAGATTTATAGTGCACCCGTGAAAAATAGTGAGCAGAACCACCACCTAAAATTGCGGTAAAAACTTTGTTTAGAAACGGAGTCAGTATGCTTGCTAAGCAACTAGGTTAATCTATTGGTCTAAAAACATCTAAAAGCTCCTGGATTCCTATTGCTGCTATTTTTAGTAGAATATATTTTTATTAATCTATTGGTCTGCCTAGATAATTGATATGGTAATAGTGAAATCTGGTAAAGCTAGTAAGAGTAAATACAACGATAGTTACTAAAGTCTTGTCCTGCTGATATGTTTGTCGCAAGTCTGTCTGGGTTGGTATTACTAGAACTGTAAGAGTTAACTGAAACAGCTATGATGAAATCAGTATTTCGTTGTTTTTAACCTAGGTATAGATGTTTAGCCAGTAAGTGTAACTCTGACTTAGTATCTCGCTGTACAGTTTAAGTATAAATGCTGAGCGAGAAAGGTTATGTCTTATCTGCCTTAATTTGGTGTTAGCGAAACCCAAAAGATCCAATAGGGAAGAGAGAGAGCTGAGTGGAACAATAATTCCCAAACTCAATATCTCGCTCATGGATACGTCTCTTTGATGTCGGAATTGGATATTGCGATATTGATCAAATCCGATATGTCAGAAAGGGCTAGATATATAAATCAATTGTTAGAAAAGAGCTCAGTACTGTACAGTTAAATTTCAGGGAAGGGAATACCGGGCTTGCAAAGAGGATCCAGCCGAATAGCCGTAACAGCTGAGAAATTGATACAATGTCTGTGGGTATTTTGTATTAATAGTGATATTCATCTAAATGTTGCTAGATTTGTAACGTTATAGCAACAAATACAAACAGATAGGTGTCAAGGGGATCTTGATGGAACAATTTGGTCACACAAATTAATTCTGAATTCTAGAATTCGTACCAGACTTTACATGAGAAGCGCCCGACTACGCTCTGCCTGCCTTGTGAAAGGGATCACACAGCGGATCTTACCGGCTTTAAAGCGTCTGAGGAGAAATGGAAAAACTGTTAAACTCAATGTCAGAAAATCTGCAACATGATGTATTGACTAAATTCCTATTGATTGTAAAACTTAGCTCATAGCACTCACTAGAAGAAAGTTTTGGAAGCATGTGTTTTTGGATGTCTGATGTGTGATCTCTTATATACAGTGAGGGAAAAACGTATGTGATCCCCTGCTGATTTTGAACGTTTGCCCACTGACAAAAAAATGGCCAGTCTAAAATTTTAATGGTCGGTGTATTTTAACAGTGAGACACAGAATAACAAAGAAAAAAATCCAGAAAATTGCATGTCAAAAAGTTATTTGATCTCTTGTCAATAAGCAAGATTTCTGGCTCCCAGGTGTCTTTTATACAAGTAACGAGCTGAGATTAGGAGCTCTCTCTTAAAGGGAGTGCTCCTAATCTCAGTTTGTCACCTGTATAAAAGACAAGTGTCCACAGAAACAATCAGATTCCAAACTCTCCACCATGGCCAAGACCAAAGAGCTGTGCAAGGAAGATCGTAGACCTACACAAGGCTGGAATGGGCTACAAGACCATCGCCATGCAGATTGGTGAGAAGGTGACAACAGTTGGTGTGATAATTAGCACATGTAAGAAACACAAAATAACTGTCATTCTCCCTCTGCCTGATGCTCCATGAAAGATCTTACCCCGTGGAGTTTCAATGATCATGAGAACAGTGAGGAATCAGCCAGAACTACACAGAAGGATCTTGTTAATGATCTCAAGGCAGCTGGAACCATAGTCACCAAGAAAACAATTAGTAACAATTAGCCGTGAATGACTGAAATCCTGTAGCGCACGTAAGGTCCCCTTGCTCAAGAAAGCACATTCACAGGCAGGTCAGAAGTTTGCCAATGAATATCTGAATGATTCAGAGGCGAATTGGGTGAAAGTGTTATGGTCAGATGAGACCAAAATTGAGCTCTTTGGCATCAACTCAACTCGCCGTGTTTAAAGGAGGAGGAATGCTGCCTATGACCTCAAGAACACCATCCCCAAACATGGAGGTGGAAACATTATGCTTTGGGGGGGGTTTTCTGCCAAGGGGACAGGACAACTGCACTGCATCAAAGGGACGATGGATGGGGCCATGTACCGTCAAATGCAAATCAATTTATAACTTTTTTGACATGTTTTTCTGGTTTTTTTTGTTTGTTTTTTGTTATTCTGTCTCTCGCTGTTAAAATACATTAAAATTATAGACTGATCATTTCTTTGTCAGTGGACAAACATTCAAAATCAGCAGGGGATCAAATAAGTTTTTCCCTCACTGTATGAGTATATTTAAATATAAAATCATTGTAAGTCTGCCCTGTGCTGTCCATTGACAATCTTTCTGTTATGTTAAATGAACTAACGATGAAATAGAATTCTCACCTGCCCTTACATGAAGACTACTCCATGTCTTGTGAAAGGGATCTTAACTTTCAGGCTTTAAATCGTCTGAGGAGAAGTGGAAAAAATATTAAATTCAATGTCTGAAACACTGCAACATGATGTATTGGCTGAATTCAAATAAATTGTAATAGTTATCTCATACTACTCACAGTCAAATCCTCCACCACATTCTTGGGGGTTTTCTTTGCCCAAGGATTGCACTTCTTAAAAAATGATCGGACTCGCTCCTTTATTGGTGATTTTCTAGAGGAGACTTGCTCAGTGCTATCCATCACGTATGTCTGCTTTGGATTTCTGTTTTTCTCACTATATCTGTGGATGCAATGGATACAGTTAGAATCCTTAACCACTTCAGGAGGGAGTCAATAGTGCACGTTCTGATCAAAACAAAATGTAAACAAAAACTGGAATTTGCGCTATATGTCTGTTCAACCGTAATTCACAGCTGTCACATTAAGTGCACCCACACTTATTATATATCATTTTGTTCAGGAGAAACAGGGCTTTAATTTATTATTAACTATTCATATATGGAACATAATTTATTATGAATAAAATTTAAAAAAATGTGAGAAAATAAGATTTTTTTTTACATTTGTATTTCCGTCTGACTTTTTAGCTGTGAATGTCATAATACTGTTGTTTTACTGCAAGAAAATGCAAATATTTGTAATCAGCGATGTCTCACGAGTACAACAGTACCCCCCATTAACAGGTTTTATGGTGTTTTGGAAAGTTACAGGGTCAAATATAGAACGTTCCATTTTCACATTGAAATTTGCCAGATTAGTAATATTACCTTTGAGACGGTGTGGTAGCCCAAGAATGAGAATTACCCCCATAATGGCATATCATTTGAAAAAGTAGACAACCCAAGGTATTGAAAGTGGGGTATGTTTAGTCTTTTTTAGTAGCCACTTAGTCACAAACACTGGCCAAAGCAAAAAACTAATATTTGGCCAGTGTTTGTGACTAAGTGGCTACTAAGAAAGACTGGATATACCCCACTTGCAATACCTTAGGTTGTCTACTTTTGCAAATGGTATGCCATCATGGGGGTAATTCTCATTCCTGGGCTACCATACGCTCTCAAAGGCAACATAACCAATCTGGCAAATTTCAATGTCAAAAAAATGAAATGCAAGCCTTATATGTGACTCTCTAACTTTCCAAAACACCATAAAACCTGTACATGGGGGGTACTGTTATTCTTGGGAGACTTCACTAAATACAAATATTAGTGTTTTAAACACTGAAACATATTACAACAATAATATAGTCTCTGACATTTCAGACAGTCCCCCTGCTGGCAGACCCACAGCCAGCTATAGGGGGCCATGTGATCACTCTTTGAGAGCGATCACATGGCCCCCAGGGGCCTCATTTGCCGTGGGAGGGCTGCCTGGGCTGTGAGGCAGTCCTCCCGAAGTGGAGCGCCGGGTAGGTAAGTATCCTGGGCGCTCCAGGGGCTTCAGCCGTTACGGCGTTCTATGCCGCCACAGCGGCTTTAAAGCCCACTTAATGCGGGATGGCATAGAACGCCGTAACGGCGTTAAGGGGTTAATTTATTGAAGGTGTTTGTTTTTACTGATCTAAGAATTATACATTGCTACTATAAAGTTTAACTGTTAATATATTGCATTATTTATTCTTTGTGTATAGAGCATGTGGTTTGCTGAAATTATTTTAAGTCTGTTTTTAGGGCCAAATTGATTTCACCATCAGAAATAACAAGGTGATGTCTAAAAATTAACTTAACCATAACCACTGTTGGCCATTATAGATAGAGACTTTAGGAAAACTAAATGTCGACTGAGTTCGCTTCACTCTACACATACACATGTGACAAAGGGAAGAATGCTTCACCTCGCTTATGAAATACATTATGGAAAAAACTTAGCAATAGGCAGAGCTTCTAATAGCCTCCATATTGTGCCATTTCCCATCAGTGATCACTTGCTGCTGTCCACTGACAGAGTTTCTGTCAAATGAACAGACAAATTATTAATAAAATTCTGTGCATGTATTCTGTGTGTGAGATTCCAATCTACTAAGCATAAATTCTCACCTGACTTTACACGAGATGCCCCCAACTACTCCATTCCTTGTGAACTGGATCGTACAGCGGAACCGCACATTGAGCTGTAAATGTTTCTCTCTCCACAATCTGAGAAGAAATGGAAAAACTATTAAAATCAACGTCTGAAAAACTGCAATATGGCTTGTGGACTGAATTCCAATAAATTGTAATAGTTATCTCATACTACTCACTGGAATAAACTCTTTGAAGGTTGTCTTTGTCTTTTCGCAGAATGTTTTTTAAAATCTGCGAAGATATCGGTCACAAGTTGTTTATATTCTGACCAACCTTCGACAAAGCTTTCCACAAAACGATGGCATCCCTCATGAGTTGGGATCATATTCCTCATGAGCTTTCTGCATCGTGACCATGTTTTACTGGCCCTGGCAGTAGAGCCTCGTGCTCTTTGCTTGCTTTTCTTTTTATGCCTATTACAAAAACAGTGAAAGAAACATAAGTCATATTTTTCGATATTGTACAAAATAGGATTTCCCCTTGAATTATATGTTAAAGAGAAGCTCTGTCCCTTTGTGTTGTGTCACTTGGAGGCTTCACGGAAATTGTTGTATAGATGGTGCATAGTACCCACATGACTTAAGGCAATATATCCTAACATGAGCGATGGATGCTGGAAGTGCCTGACACAGGAAGGGACAATGCTCCACATCTGGTGGTCCTGCAACTTCGTACAGCCTTATAGGAGACAAATTACAGACCTAATCAAAGGAGTTACTGGGTGTATCTTAGAACACAATATCGAAACCCTACTACTCAAACTAATACCAAATGGTATATCAACGTGCATAGTCAAACTAATATTCCCTTACGCTTTCCTCAGCTTCCACATTGTTGCCAAAAAAATGGAAAACCCCATTGATCCCCTCATTGGCGGAAGTTGTCACGCTGGTCTCCACTACTCTGGAATACGAGGTGATACTGTGGAACCAATCAAAACTGGGTAAAGGAAGTGCTACAGCAAATGTGTTATGGACAGCGTATACAGGGGGCCAGGGAATTACATAATCCCCCTAGGTATATTATCATGGGAAACGCAGGGTAGGTGGAATGGTTGTATATATACAAAACAAAAAACAAAAACAAAAAGAAGAAGGGGGAAAACACTATCCCGAACCTACCGATAAGCGACTTCTTCTTCCCACCCCAGTGTATAAACACAGCACAGAGACACAAGGTTAGAAATGGCATGGTTAAGCAAGGACATCCTTGTTGTCCCAGTTATACCATGGCCCCACCCTTTGCTCAACGGGTGATCACTAAGGAGGAGAACATGTCCTTCCCACTCAGGATATGGAAAGTTTAGCAGCCGAGACTAACTGCCTCCAGAATCCCACTCAACCACCGTTGTCCATTCAAACCCAAGTGCTTGTCAACACATGGGCAAGCCAATGGTCCACAAACTCCCCACAGGAAGTTCAGAAGTGTCCAATAGGTAGAACAGATGGGGAAGACACCCACATTGACAAGTCGACAGGTGTCTTTCCCCCATACCCAACAGTAGGGAATTGATAGTATGCACACCCATCAGAGAACAATGGCTCTTCATACAGTGTAATGGATAAACGCCACATTGGTAAAATGGGATCGCAGCCATAAGAACCACACAGCCCCAAGGAAAAGTCAGGGGATAGGCTACTCACAAGGCTGCAGTTCACCTTATTGTGATGGGGAGTCAAGGAATGATTGCCCGTTTACCCCTCCTCTTTGATTTCTGTATCCGAAATGTACCACCAAGATGTGAAGCATGCATTTGTTATTTGGTTAAAAAAGTCTTTGATAAAGTGCCAACAGCTGCCCCTCCCCCTTTTTTCCTTCTGTATCCCAAATAAAAATTGGCAAATTGAAAAAAAAAAAAGCAAACTTTAAAATCTTTTTCAGGAGATAGATATATGTCTGTATATATGAGACTAACTGCCTGTTAATTGTAATTTGTCATTTTACTTTGTAGATTAACAGTTTCTAAGTTCTATGACAATGAATGTGAAATAAAATGTAAAACCACACAGTGGGACAATCTGTATGTGCAAAAATGTATACCAAACACCAGAAAATACATTGCCATTGTTTCAGGTGTAACACATAAAGGTGGGCGTGTGTTTAACGCATAAAACTAATGAAAAAATGTCATTCCCCCAGAACATTGTGCCTAATTTAACTAAATACTATTTAACAATACAATTGATCCTTTTGTCTAGTGAATATTGTTTGCCTGTGCTGTCATTGTGAGATTCACTAATTGTTCACTAATTGTAACTATTTGTTGATATACCATGGTAACGTCCTATGTCTGTTTGTCGTATGCTTTAATAAATTATAGATCATGATGATGCTCTTCCGAATACAGAGTAAATTTAAATAGGGACATACAGTGGGAAAGTAAAGACCTTTTGTATGACTGATATTTTAGTGTACAGACAGTATTTTACAAATGTTAATATTACAAAAAATAATAATTCAGTCAAGTGGAAATCATCAGGAACTGTACAGCTAATTTCAAATTTAAGGCCAAAACAGAAGGATTGGAAACATTTCCAGCTTGAATATTTTAGACTATAATATGCTTATATTGTGTCACCATATGTAGGTGTCACATCATGCCATGTTCTGCAGAGATGTCTGGCTTTGGTTTCTGGTATCCAGTACTCTTTTTACAATTCTTGTTTTTTTTTTGTGCACTCCCTCTAGTATGTAAGCTCATCGAGCAGGGCCCTCAACACCCTCTGTTCCTGTACGTCCAGTGGTCTGATCTCAATTATGTGTCTGTTAGTCCACCCATTGTACAGCGCTATGGAATTTGTTGGCGCTATATAAATAATAAAATAATAATAATAATTATAATGATGCTCCAAGTCGCAGTGCAGATACGGACATAAACAGGAGAATCGTCGTTGGTAAGTCAAAGGTCAGTGGGTGCCAGAAATCAGGATAAACCAGTAGAGAGCCGAGGTCAGGAATCAACAGGAGCACACTGGAACACAAACAGCAATACGGAACCAGAGTCAATGAACTGACATCTCCGCAAAACATGGCATGATGTGACATAAATGGCAGGATTACTAGTTGATCCAGCACGTAGAATTGTGTCACACAGATGACTAATAGGTAATGTATTACTGGGCCTTAGAATGGCCGGACTTAAAGTACCAAAGAGTAGTCAGGATACTTGCAGAGGTCAGGGGATACAGAAAGAGACACAATGATAAGGGAAAGCCAGAAGTCAGGGATACCAGAATACAGGGAAGTCAAAATCAAAGCCAAAGTCAAAAACCAGAAGAAACTTGAATCAGGAATGCGCTCTCGGACAACCACTAGGGAAACCTGGACACTGGGAATTCCAGGGACGGATTACAGGAAGGAAAACCCAGCATAAAGAAAACCAGACATTATTATTATTATTATGATATTTATAGAGCGCCGTCAAATTCCGCAGCGCTTTACAATGGGTGGACGAACAGACATGTAGTTGTAACCAGACAAGTTGGACACACAGGAACAGAGGGGTTGAGGGCCCAGCTCAATGAGCTTACATGCTAGAGGGAGTGGGGTAAAATGACACAAAAAGGTAAGGATAGTATTAGACTAGTGACAGTTGCAGAAGAGGAATCAGTCAGGAGCTATTAACAGTTTAATTGATACGCTTTTATGAAGAATAGAATAGAAAACCAAAAAAACAAGAAAAACTAAACAAGAATTGTAAAAAGAGTGCTGGATACCAGAAACCAAAGCCAGACATCTCCGCAGAACATGGCATGATGTGACAGTAGGTATATTATATATAAACCCATCCCTATCTCTCCCTTTCTCTTTAATCCTGCCGTCATACATTCAGTCTCCTCCTTTTCCTATTCCCTTCACCATGTGACCCCCTTGCGCTGCCCGTCTTACCCTTTTTTCTTTTGACCTCCCCGCTTTTTCTGCTTGCTCATATTTCTAGCTTGCAGCGCTATGTCTGTTCAGCTGAGAAACCGAGTGCAGAGTAAGACAGTTAGCTCAGAATCAATAGATAATGTTCATGAAAGTCTATGATGTCCCTGTTTGATTTGAATAACCATGGAATGTTCATGATGTCACAGTTTACCTGACAATTGAGCTATTGGAGAACAAACAGAATTTGTTTAACCCATTCAGGACCATATTATATAGAAAATCTTTTATATTTATCAATATCTCCTAGTCATATCTCAATCATATAAGTAGGAATTTCCCATGCTGTCATCGGGTTTTTAACACCCATATGGTAATGGTATAATATAAAAAATAAAAGCTCTCTTTTTTAGCACCAAATTTAGCAATATATAAATTTAGCTAATATGTAGGTTTTTTTCCCTGTATTCCTTTGTTGGTGGACCATACTACTGGTATGGAGTTAGGCTCAAGGGAAATACTACAAAGGTATCTCTTTTCTGGTCCTGAGAAATATCCAAAGTCGATGGATTCACACCAAATTATATGATGTAATGCTACTCTAATCAAAAATCTGAAGCTTACATTCTGAATAAAAAAAGCACATCAAGAAGCTGAATTACCAGTGATTATACAAGCCTAATTTGGAAAAACAACCTGTAAAAAAACAAGGAGGGACCTGTGGATGGACATTCTATAATTCTGGTGGAAGGACCAACTGTCAATTCACATTGGTCCCCTTCAGCCTCAGTTCGGCACCCTGGTGCTTCACCAAGCTCTTGAAACCAGTCATGGCATCACTGAGAGCCCTGCGGGTTAGGTCCATTGCTTTTCTGGACAATATTTGGATAAAAAAAGTATTTCTGGGTGTTCTTTGGACCTGTTCCTGCTATATGTAGAAATACTTTTTTTATCCAGCTGAGGAAGCCTACACGGCGAAACGCGTCCTGGAGAAACTGTAAGGAAAAGACTTTGAACATTGGGCTTTTTATGCCTATATAGTGTTGTTATTTTATATATATATAATTTTTTTTTTTTATAATTTTAAAGGTAATAGTACAATAAAGTTTATATATATTTTTATATACAATTCACTATTGCCATTTTTGGAGTGTGGTCCTTAAAGGACCACTCTAGGCACCCAGACCACTTCAGCTTAATGAAGTGGTCTGGGTGCCAGGTCCAGCTAGGGTTAACCCATTTTTTAATAAACATAGCAGTTTCAGAGAAACTGCTATGTTTATGAATGGGTTAAGCCTTCCCCCTAATCCTCTAGTGGCTGTCTCATTGACAGCCACTAGAGGCGCTTGCGTGCTTCTCACTGTGATTTTCACGGTGAGAGCACGCAAGCGTCCATAGGAAAGCATTGTAAATGCTTTCCTATGCGACGGGCTGAATGCGCGCGCAGCTCTTGCCGCGCGTGCGCATTCAGCCCAGGAGGAGGAACGGAGGAGGAGAGGAGGCAGAGAGCTCCCCGCCCAGCGCTGGAAAAAGGTAAGTTTTAACCCTTTTCCCCTTTCCAGAGCCGGGCGGGAGGGGGACCCTGAGGGTGGGGGCACCCTCAGGGCACTATAGTGCCAGGAAAACGAGTATGTTTTCCTGGCACTATAGTGGTCCTTTAACCACATATGCTATTTCACTAAGCCAGTTTGGATGGCTCTGGGTTTGTGAGTACCCTATTTTATTTTACTACTTGTAAGGTACAAACCTACAATATTGCACTATATACGTTCTTCATCCTAGATTAAGAAAAAGGAAAAGAAGTAAAAGCTACAAAAGAAGGGAGAGGGTCACCTCTACGGACCCTAAGAGCGCAAGAACTGAGCTAAAATCTTTTGGCTCTAAAAATTGAGTGGGGAATTTTCTGTACCCTTTTCATAAATTATATAATACAGTTTACACTATGATATGTGTTTTTTGTTTATGTTTTTAGTGAATTACGCATTACACATTAGGTTTCCGATACAGGATAAATATCAAAGGTTATATAAATATATTCATCCATCCTATTACAGCACTGGATATCTCCAAATCTATATTCTATACTTAATATAGCGCTTCACCATCACCTGGGTTCTATTTCTACAATACAAGATAAGATTATGGTGTTATAGCAGCTTACAATATACTGGTTTACAATATTTTGATTTCTTATACTGTTTTAAATTAGCGCTGGTACTTCACTTTTTTATATTCTATTTAATTGGTGGCTCTTTGTCCGAGATCCTTATGGCAGCAGATTAGTCTTGCAAATCGACCTTCCGGACATTCTACTTCCGGCCATGTTTGCGTGTGTCATTT